TTTACCCTCTTTTAGTTTTTTATGCCACGCCATAATAAGAAATACATGTATAGATTTTGTCATGTCCGTCCTCCACCCTTCCATCTGTCTTAATTCCTTCGGGTTCGAGAAAAATTTCCAGATATTTTTATCAAAGTTCATATGTTGATGCATACTGATGTAAACTATCCAACTGCTGCAATATTTTGTTACCTTGACTTTTCCTTTGGCCTTCACTTTTCTTTCTTTGAATTAATGTTTAGCTTTATTTTAAAGAAACCATTCAAGTTATGTATTGAAACTTCACATGATGATACATACTGATGTAAGCTTTACAATTCTTTTTTTTTTACCTTTCCTGTGACCTTGACCTCACTTGTCTAAACTTAATGTCTAGATCAGTTTTGAATAAACAATTCAAGATATACTTATCAAACGTCATATGCTGATACATAATGCTGAGAGCTACATGTATTAACGCATCAACTTATTTTTACCTTGAATTTTCCTTTGACCTTGACCTCACTTTTTAAAATATGTGTTTATCTAAGTTTTAAATTAACCATTAATTAAATTTTTATCAAACTTCATATGCTAATAGTAAATTCATACTGATGTAGGCTTTTCAACTGCAACAACATTTTGACCCCAACCTTTCATTTGACCTCTCTTTTCTGTTTCATAAAAAGTAATAGGGATATCATATGAACTATAGATACATGTATTGGTTTTATTTGTAATGAGTGATGGATAAGATACAATAAATATTTTACATATTTTAAAAGTTATCAACAATATACATCGTATATTTAACATTTAGAGTTGCAATAAATTAACCATTCAAATATAAAGATTACCCTCGTAAAAGTTATCACATGTGTGCAAAGTATATAATCCCATTCACATGTGAATTAATGCTAGATAATCGCTTTTTTTCAATGAGCCAAATAGAGCCAACAGAGGAATCTTTTGACACGTATAAGCCTTTGCATAATATGACCTCATATTGTGACGTCATAATTCTGAACTTTGTGATGTTATAAAACACATTAAAACACATTAAAACAAGACCAGAGCAAGGCCAAGCCCTATTGTTCTATGTTTAAATGATAGAAAAAAATACTAAGAAGAATATTTTACAGACTAATAAAACTTTAGTATAAGTTTGAATTTTCAGTCTGGCTGAATGTATGGGCACTTACACAGGGCACACATTCTGCATTGCTTCCGATTCAACTTGAACCTTTACAAATAGCAAGTAAACAGTTGAACTATAGGTATTAATGTGGTAATGTCATCATTGTTTTTTAATTTTGCCTCTAATTATACCTTGTTTCTGTAAAACTCGATATGTTATGCAACAGAATTGACCGGGGAATATCAGTAAATACTAACAAATTTCCTCTTAAACTTGATAAAACTGTAAATACAAAATTAAATTTCATTTATTTTATAAATGTATTTATTTAAAAACTACACGATTGAATTGTATATTTTCAAATCATTACAAACACTGAGTCTTCTCAACAATTGTTAATGAAAGATAATAGATTATCACCGATGGAAACCAAATTCCCGTGAAGAATCTTAAAAACAATGAATCTGTATTTTTGGGTACTCAGCCTCTTTATGCGACCTTTATCAATTTTTAACAAGTGGTATACCTAAAAGTCACAAAACATGGAAAGAATGGCCATGGAGGGAGGAGGAAATTCGGTTGGAATTTGGTTATCTGGATCATCCTTACGGCACGCTCTATTCACTTTTATCGTTCTGTTTAATTGTCCTAATATTTAAAATAACAAGTATAAAAATCCATTCAAATACATTTTTATATAATGTTTGTGTCATATTTTATCGTAAAATTTTCACAATTTGAAAGCTTTGGACAAAATTTAATCAAACCAAAAGAGATTTAGATGTTCGTTTTAGGCCAATGTTTTGCGTCAAATCCAGTGATTGAAATGTTATAAAATGGTTTAGGATATGCATAACAATCTTTTAAGCTGGATTTGACGCAAAACATTGGCCTAAAACGAACATCTAAATCTCTTTTGACCTGATCCCATCACTAATGTTTTAGATGTACCGTTTTGCTCTGTTCCTGATTTGTATTGTGTAATGGACTTTTGAACTTGTCTACTGATCGTTTTGTCTATATATTACAAATTGACAATGTCTTAAGAATGTTTCTTGTCCAGATGCAGTGTGATTTAAAGAAACATTTTTAAAGAACTATAAATGAAAAGTGACTCAAATGGCCCGTTCAAATGAATATCTCAATTTTCTTAATTTATAGCTCTATTTTGCGAGGCCATACATTTGACTTTTATTGGTAATTTTCAATTTGAAAAAAAATGCCATGAATTTAGACATATGAGATCATGAAGTGCACGCGATTTTAGCATATATTTTTTTTTCATTTTTACCATATATTCTTTTTTATTTTTAATACTGTTTTTATCTCCATATCCTTCATTATATAAAATTGCTTATTTTCAGGCAATTTTGTCCTGTATGCAGACTTGAACAAACTTAATATGTCTATCAAAGTTGTATTAATACAAGACATAACTGACAGACAAAAATTGTATGTTTCAAGCTGCACTTTATATTTTTTATCAGAAAAAAAACCCCGTGAAGAACAATCTCATGCTCGTCTTATTTTGACTGGATTGGAAAAATAGTAAAACTCTTGACGTCATTTCTAGTCTGTTTGTATATAAATGAAGAAAAAGTATTGGGAAACTTCTCCAAAAGAAAAAAAACAATTATCCATCTATGAATATCATTCTTAAATGTTGATTTTAAGGGAGACAAAATTGATTCTCATCATATATTTTTTTTAAACTCTTTTTATAGTCCGAAATATTTCTGTTAAGGTACATGTCCACAACATTAGTGAAATTTGTTTAAAAATTCCCATTTTAGACAACATAATAATGGGTCAATAAAAATGAAGAAACAAACCCCCTTTTTGACACTATTAGGCTTGATATTTCTCTCAAAATGAAGTAAAAAATCTAATGATAGAACTTTACAATAAAGGGGCATATTAAACTAGTTATATATAAATCTTAAAGAAAGAAATAAATATGTCATTTGTTAGGTCATGGTTCTACTTCGAACAGTACTCGAGATTAAAAGCCTATGAAACAATTCAAAATAGGTGTAGAGGAAACACAGACGTTGAAAACATCAGAGGTGGGATCAGGTATCAATGGGGATTGAGCATCCCCTGCCGACCGGTCACAATCGCCATGTGCTCCTTGTGATACTCGGTAAATAATGGAAAAAAAATCCGTCGTCAATTAAGTGTATAAATTATGGACTAAAAATAATTATGAAAAACGTCGGTCAGCATTTTAACTCAAATTTGACTGAAATTTTGACAAACTGTATTTGCTGACAAATTTTTGGTATCAACTGGCTTACGAAATGATGGCTTTAAAAGAGACTGTTGATATTCTTGTTTCATCAGCTAAATCTTTTGTTAATAATTAAACTTTAATATAGAAATTGTCCATATATACATACGGAGAACATTCTCTTGCGAATCGAATCAACTGAAATAAAGAAAGTCCCTTTGCAGGTGATGAAGTCATCTTCATCATAGAGTTTGGTGGTTAGATAAACATTAACGTCTTTTAAAAGTAAAATATCCAAATATAAAGAAGATGTGTCTGACAGATGACATTAACTATGCGCTCAGGAAAAAAAAAATAAAAAAATTACTTGAATCACAAATCCCCCCCCCCAAAAAAAAACAACCAAAAACAAAAACCGCCAAGACTATGTTTTTTTGTTAAATAGAAAATAAAATGACAGAGGATGACAGAAAATATCAATAACAACAATTTTATAATGATATTTCACTGTTTAATTATAAATAAACTGGTAAAGTATGACCATTTTTTGGACATTCTCATTTAATATTTATGACAATATGATAACAATTACATTTTACATACTTAGTATGTGATATTTATTCATGAAGGTATTCTTTATATTTGAATGGTTAATTTAATGCAGCTCTAAATGTCAAATTAACATTGTTTTTTTTCGATAAATCTTAAAATAATCGAAGGAGTTATTTGTCCATAACGTATTACAAATAAAAAGGTATAACTTGTATTAATATGATAATCTTAAAACCAAAGTACCAGAACTGACTGGGGGATACCAGGAAATACATGTCCTGAAAACAATTTCTAAGCTTGGATATACTGGGAAATACAAAATTAAATTTTACTTCTTTCATTCACTTAATCTTTTAAAATAAAAATATATGCAAAAGATAAAGACTGAGTTTGTCTAAAACTGCATTTCTTATGTTCAATATATATCACTACTTCAGGCCTCAACATTACGCAGCAGAATACGCTTCCCCTATTGTATTTCCAGAACAAAAAACGTTTTTGATTAACATTTCATTTCATGATATAAAATCATTATACTTATTGATTATAAATCCAAGAACATAATGAATTGTTATAATCCATCTATATAATTATGTTATAACAAAAAGTATTTTTTTTTTCAAAACATAGACGGGTTTGAGTTTCTTTTTGGAACTATATTTACCTTGGTAGATCTGAAAAGCTTCTTTGGTTTTGATATTTATACTATATTCTACACTTAATCCCTAGATCCTTTTCAAGGTTCAAAAAAATAGTTCAAATGGGATATTTAAGTTTATTTATTGACCTTTATAGAATAATCTGAACCGAGCGTAAAGAAATAATAGTGGAATCTTAGTAAACTGTGTTGGGTTTAATTAAAAGAAAACTATAGGATTATTCCGAGTTTTAAATCAAAAACAGTTATACCAGGTTGTAATCTTATCCTTTAATGTTCTACAGATCTATACCCAACCACATATGATTGACTTTATAGTTATTTCTTGCTTTCTCCTATTTCCCATTATTTCCCGGGAAATATCGGTATATTCGAAAATTTCACTGATATTTCAAGAGTATAAATAGTTTGTCCACTGTTCATTATTTTTTAAGTCATTTTAGCGTCTTCTTTTGGATTGGTCTGAAATTAATATCTGTATTCGTTTTTCCCCTGTATTCTAAAAGTCAACTATGGTTTTAAAAAGCAAACACAAGGACACGTATGTTATAACAAGAAAGTTCCCTTCTTTCAAAGGTGAAGAATTGGTTTCATAAGTTGTGATGTCCATAGTTGTCATGTCAGGGCAGGTCAAGTTTGCAGCTGATAGACTGACCAATGAAATTCCCTTTAAGGTCTCAGGAGTAAAGCAGCGTGGATCTCCAGATACAGGGACACGTCCAGATTTAAGGAAATCGACCAGGCCTATTAACTCGCAATCGCAGTGATAAGGATTATCCTGTATTCTCCTGGATAAAATAAAAGAAATCATTGCATTTGAATTCCTTAATACTATTCAATATTTAAAAGAAAAAAAATGTGAACAATACTTTACATATATAGTAAGAAAAGAAACGCAGAAATTTAACTCATCAAAGAAATTTTGAAAAAGTATATTAAACAACAATCTTTTTTATCATTAAATATCCGTGACCTATTTAAAGTACACCGTTAACTTTAAACCCCAATTGTTTAATTATTTTCCTTGATTAATAATGTTTATGAAAGTAGTGTTTTGCATAATTTTTTGTCGGTGGGGTGGGGGGTCTTTTTTCAATGAAATTTTGAATTTAGAGAAACAATAAACACTACTATTAAACCCATACTTTTGCTTTGATTGCAATGTTGATGCTGCAATGCTACGTCTGAACAAATATAAATTCAACAAGGCTAGCGCTCTAACAAGGACTACTTTAACCGGAACTACGTAACTGTAATTTGCAACTGTATTTGGTATACATTAATCGGCTTTGCAGCAGTTAAACGCACATTTTTATTAAAGGACAGAGGATGATCTGGTATGTGACACAAGCACGTTATTATTAGAAATAACAGCCAGGAAAACTGAATATTTAAATAATTATGAACCAAAAAATGCTAACAGTACAAAAAATGTATATTCTGTTTATTCTTTTGCAAAGACTCATGATTTATAAGGCTGCATTTACGATATTTTGACTGGCAGTGTCGATTCACTTTGAAAGAACAAAAATTGTTTGCAAAAGACTGAGTGAGAGAAGCGGGTATTCTTGCATGAGGTCCCTACATTGAAATCCACTAACCTTGAGATGTGGCAAAGGACATATGGATTGGTAAAGATGTATGTCTCTAGAATTTGGAGGCAACGTCAACATCGACTTAATTGTCAATTTGGAACACAGAACATATCTGATTTTTATAATTAGCAATATATATATATCACATAGGCTGATTTTTGTCATTTTGTTTTTCCTCACAAAATTCACCTAGCTTGGTATACTTTTCTAAAGTTCATATTACACTTTTAGATCCAAGGTAACATATTCTGAAAATTGTTTTCACCTGTAAACCTTTATTGAATGTGATTTGTCTATATTTGTTTTTTTAATGAAATATTACTAAATATTTTCAAAGTCTGTTTCATTTTCCAGTTTTTAAGAGAGAAAATTCTAAGAACCATCCATTTTTTTAAACTTGTGACATGATATTAAATCTTTTTCAAAGAAAAAAAAATTGTTTGTACCATCTGGTCATAATGTTTAAACTTGTTATCATCAATTATCTGAAAATACGTTTCTTTTTTTGAGTATATAAGGGATATCTAGATAGTGTGACTTGATATTTGTTTCGCATAGTTAAAATGGTATATATACGAGAGTCTTGCAAAGCAAATATACACTATTTCAACACGTTTGATAAAGCAAATATTGAATGACACAATTAATCACACAATTTATACTACTTGTAGTTCCATGGTGAAATATTATGCATTGAGTCTAATGTAAGAAAGCATTATTGAAAGTGGCTATAAGACTTCTCTGCATACCACAAATAACTGTAAAGAGTTTCTTATAACAGCGATTTACGGGGGAAAGTAGAAGTTGATTCTGTCTTCGCACTATGTAAACGCTGACATAAACGAATCTGTTTTCTTGCTTATAATATTTTTTGTTGATTTTCGCTATTTAAAAAAAAAACAAGCTTTTTGTTCATCATCAGTATTTTTAGACAAAAATTTTCAAAAATCATATTGTTGATAAATTAAAATCTTGAAGCTAGGGTTTGTGCAAAAAGCGAGAGTAGTTTTGATTAACCACCAACCGTGGATAAATCATTCGATGTTCTCATTGCTAGTATCACACGTTTGAGATAAATTATATATAAATAAGGGTTATAAAGGAATATTCGAGTAACTAAACTATAGTTCGATTAACAACGATTATAACATTTGTAGTTCTTATGAGGGATATATTTAAAACGAATATTACAATTAAAAATGTGGGTAATAAAAACTTTTGTTTAATCTTCTACACACCTTATATCCTCTTAAATATTTTTATAACCAAGTTGTTCTAATTCAAGTTACTTTATTTTACCCCCCGCCTGAAAAGTGAGAGGGTATATAGTAATCGGTATGTCCGTCCGTCCGTCTGTTACGCTTTGAGGTACCAATCTCTTATCCGCAACTCCTCTTATACCACTGAGTAAAATTTAACGAAACTTTACAGAATCTTCGTTATTCTATTCTTAGATACTTACAGCTCTTGTAGATTTGTCAACCCACTTATAGTGATGTTTTTTATGGAGGATATCCTGTTGTTATTAAGACGTCTAAAAGAAAGATTAAAAGATTGAATGTTTAGGTCCTTACGTACACATTTCATGTCAGGACTTAAGAAAGAAAATTAGTGTCTCTTCAGTTCTAGTTGCTTTATGAAATCGTTATTTTTTTCTTTTCCGTTAGTAACAAATGTGACTTTATAACACATATTATTACACAGTCATATTACAAATAAAATTACATAACGAACTTACAGCCTAATTATGTTTGTCAAACCACTGAATGCATGGTCTTCTATTGTGGTTATACCGTTGTATGATAAATACCTGAAAGATATTATGAAGAATGAATGTCAAATGCAAGTACTTATAATTTTATTTCATTCTTAAAAGACATTCTAATAATGAAAAGCATTTATAACATTGATTACTATTACTAGACTCACAATGCAAAAGCAGTTAGATTTTATATTATTATGTACATATTCGTCAATCTGAATTTCGCATCTCAAGACTTTCCGTTGAATTCGTAAAATGTTCATTGTTTATACTCTTCAAATACTTCCAATATATATCAAGTTGGTTTCATGTATCATAAAGGTCCTAATGCTATCATTTTCATCTTTCCTTAATATAATTTATTTTCTCAATCCATGAGTCTACTTTTCCTTTTTTTTTTTTTTGCAAATATAATTACAAATTGTTTGTCGAAATTGAAATTTATTAAAATACAAAAGAATTAATCAAAGTAAAGAAAAAAAAATACAAATACCTTTGTTTTAATGTATCCTGTATAAGGATTATCATATACATTACGAAAAAATACAAATGATGACTTTAAGAATTGGAGAGAATAATAGGAGAACAAGCATGTCACAAACTTGTTGATAACATAACAAGTTATGGACAAGTGCCCCCTCCAGTGGAGACGAGTGGGAAATATCAAAAGCTCACAAGTAGCGACTAACAGAGTAACATTTGTACAACCCATTAGAAATTAACTACATATTTCCTGTAGATTTTCAAATACAGATGAATATGCACCGATAGTGTTTGGGATCAAGTCTACCAACGGTCTTTCAGAATTTCACGTGTTCATACCTTGTTATATGCAGATATATTTTTGTATTTATATTCTCACGTTAATCAAACATAAGTCTATTATAATTAAGGGGATAGATTCTCCGAAAAGGAGGCTTACTATGGAAAATCAGCGGAAAATAGAAGTGAAATACGGGAACTTTCTAAAAATGAATTTATCTCCATATATCAGTTATATTATCACATAACTTTAACACTTATTGAAATAACATTACAACCCACTTTGTACTGAATGTAAGGTTGATACCCATCGATGGACATTTACGTGATAAATGCATAGTATGTGTACTGAATCTAGGCCATGACGAAGTTGCAACATCGCAAAGACATGACCTAGTTAAATTAAAAAAATATATATATGATATTTCTGTCGTTTCTGCATTTTCGAACGAACTATCTGAAAAGTGCTACTGCTTTCAATAGAATTCGCATTTTAATAGATAAAATTTCCTGTAAATGGGCTCATGTCGAAATATGCTTGACCAAGCATTTTATGTCCAAATTAAGTAACCGTCTGGATTTAAAAGAAAGCAGCAGCACCTTTCAAATTAAGGATAATATTCTTTATTTACTTTCAAATAATGGTTAAGGTCTTTTAAGTGCATGTTTCTGCGAATAGATGATTGAATTAGACACCCCTATGTTTAAAATGTAAAACCTGTACACTAAAACACCGTAAAATTAATTGAATGCATTCTCTCGATAATTAATGAGTAATCGCACTAAACAACGGTTTTATATTGGTATGAATAGTCCATCTAAAATTTGTATATGATATTCTGTTTAATATTGAAATACTTTATCTGCCCTTCATAGCACAAGAAATTTGTAATTTTTTTTTTTAAAAATCAAAATGATTTCCTGTCGGCAAGTGATACATGTATGGCGATCAGCGATATGTTTTAACCTGCTATTTGGGATTTATCTAGCATTTTTAAATGCATTGATAGTTTGTTTTATTTCTGCTAAGGCAGCTTTAACTTACAAACTATTTCATTTGCTTGTTCAATGAGGAATAACTATTTATGTGTGAGGTCACAATAAACATTTCGCGGATAATTTCTTTTTAGTCTTTACAATGCTGTAGAACTCTGAGCAATAAAACTTACAGATACTCTAAGTTTGTCAAACCAGTAAATGTGCTGTTCTTGATAGTAGTGATATTGTTATTGAACATATTTCTGAAAAAAAGAAAAGCAAATGTCAAGAGGAAGTTTTTTTCCAAGCAAATAATTATACAAATTTTCCATGAAAGTTTATTTTTGTAAGAAAGAAAAAACCCAGATAAGTTTCAATTATTACGTGTATAATTTCGTCTAATTTGAAATAAATGGGAAGATTTGCTCTTCAAAAACCCCCCAAAATCCACATAAATATAGAATGAAGATATGAGGTATTATAGTACGGAAGACTGATATTCCAAACACAATATTTTAAATAATGAGCTTTAATTCCATCTAAGTCTCTTAAAAAGTTGAATAAACGAATGTTTAAGATGTTAAAGGTTGGGGAATTGATAATGATCAACTTACAAGAATTCTAATTTTGTCAAATCACCGAACGCATTGTCTTCTATTACAGAAATTTTGTTTTCGTCTAGTGCCCTGAAATATATTATGAAAAATTAATGTCAAGTCTAAGTATTTGTAATTTTACCTCGTTCCTAACAGAAAACATATTAATTATAATTATAGAATAATGTATATTAAATCCTTGATAACATTAATAATTTTTACTAGCCGCACAATGCAATCATAGATACATTAGAATTATTATGTACATAGTCATCAACATGACTTAAGCATCCCAGTACATCAACATGATTTGCGCATCCATTCTTTTGAATCTGTAGGTAGTTCATTGTATATACTCTTCAGTATATTTTATTTTCTCCATCCATGAGTTTACTTTCCCTTTTTTTTTAAATATAACTACAAAGTAACTTGTGTAAGTTATTGACAAGTGCCCCTTTACTAGTTAGACTAATGGGAAATATCAACACCTCCATTGTAGCGACTAAAAAACAAACAATTCAACAAACCATCAAATGCACGAATTAACTACGCATTTCCTGTAAATATCTAGGTACCAGTACAGTGTTGTAGGATCAAATCTACTAGCAATCTTTCAGAATTTTCACTTGATCTTATCATACCCTGTTATAAGCAGACATATTTTTTGTATTTATAAACCTACGGTAATCCTATACACCCCATGAACTCGGAACAAACAACAACACAAAAGAATCCAGTCCAACACATCTGAATCCCTGTAAAAGAGTCGTCACTGGTATGTCACCTACAAAACTCCACAACAATAAAGTGACGATATTAACTCTTCCATCGTCAACCTCTCCCATCTTTTTCACAATATTCCATTATCACCTACATATGAAGCCCATGCCCCAAGCCGACTAGATCGATATGCAGGCACATGCTTCACGTGCAAACAATTTCCAAAACGAGACAAGCTATTCAATAAGAATTTTATAAAAAAAAAAAACATCAAAAGTCTTGTCCAAGGTCAACATCTCGCGTACTCCACAATTAGTATAATTTGCTTGCCAACAAATACAATCTTTCATGAAATTAAGCGCTGTGTTACTTGTCTGGGCTGTTAAGATTGATTTCTGTTCTATATTTTCATATATCACTGTCACATATTGATAAATTACAAGAGGCTAAGTACAGATATATAGAGGATATCTATATTATGTGATTTGATATTGCCTTTATCCAACGAGTTGAAATGGTGTATATATTCGCGAGGCTTGCCGAGCGAATATACACCATTTCAACGAGTTGGATAAAGCCAATATCAAATCACACAATTATAGATGTTCTATTTATCTCATACGACTTTCGTTTTAACAAAACTTTGAGACTTCCCCTGCCAAACTACGCAGCACAGTTAAGGTTACAAAAAGGAGGCGGAGCCTAATTTGTACGGGAAAACTTGACTATGACATCATACACATAAACGTCATACAACATTTCTTTAAAATACCACAAAATGAGTTGATTTGCTAATTTAACCAGTTAAAAATCACCAAACTACATAAAATCTTACTACAGCGTGCTGTTTTGTCGTTAGTTATATCCCACATAACAAGTTATAAACAAGTCACTGATCACAATACTCTTGTCAATATGACGTCATTTTTTACAACGTGACGTAGTTTGTATGCAGTGAGAGGTAGATAGAGTAATATTTTCTCAACAAAATATGTATTATGTAATTAAATAAAATATTATTTATAGATATTCTACAGGTCTATAACTTGAATTTAATGTCTTCTTTGCTATTTAACTAATATATTTTCTGTACATTACGTATTTAATTGACACTGCCGTATATTTATATGCAAGTACATCGGAGGGTAACGTGGGGGGTCTTAATAAATCGATCTAGTGCAAGGGCATACACTCTATGGATCAAAGTAAGCTTTTACATTTCAACTCTTGAACTATTAAGGTATCTGAAAAGTGCTGCGATCCTGATGAAATCTTGAAAACAATTTAATTATATCAATATTTCATGCCCCTGGCCAGCAAAAACAATCGCATTCGTTCATACAAATATAATTTTAACAATGAAATTGCAGATTTTAGACAGGATCGCAGCACTTTTTAGAAACTACAATACGTGTTGAAAATATTTATATACTAAACTTTAAAATTTAACTTTGTTATGCCCTTGCACTAGTGATATTTATATGTAACATCAATACTGCAAGTCAATGAGCTAAAATCGCGTGACTGCTGCATCACGTGACTAGTCTTAATATAAAATATAATCGTCCTCGATATGTAGTTATTAATCATAGTTACAATTATCCGATATAAATAATGTACTTAGAATAATCGCCATCCCGATTAGGAATACATTTTTAAATACAAAATTTAGTCGATATTTCCATTGCGCACCTTAACTGTGAAATTGTAATTACATTGTTATTACATTTTTGAACATGTAATTTCTTCATTTTGTTTAATTTTTATTACTCAAGTGGAAAAAATTGCTTTAAAACAGTACATACGTGTCATTTTAATATGATGCGCGAAGTATTGCGCAATGAAAACAGTGTGTGTGTGTGTGTGTGTGTGTGTGTGTGTGGACAAAGTTCTTTAGGTTCTAATTCCATTAACATATGTAATATTTTTAATGTTTTGTCTGACCACAAGATGTACTCATGTTTAATCCTAAGCACAAAGAAATATTTTCTTTATCGAACGTTCTTTAAATGGTGGGAAATTGGAAACACACACAGCACATCTTTGATTATAGAAATAGCTTTTAATTATAAAGAATGTTTGTTTGTTACCAATGCATGTGTGAATGTATCGCTTTAATTAAAAAGAAGAATTTAATTTTTTTCATTGTACAATTTAAGAAAATATAAGGAAAAAAAATAAGGTAAATACACGGGTTTTG